CTACTCCTCCCATAGTTTTGGTTCAATTTCAATGATTCGTGCAAAATAAAAAAATATCTTTTAATATTTACATTTCATGCATTTTTCCTTATGAAGTTCATTAGAAATCCACGACATTCAAATTTCTATAACACACACAAAACCTTGTCACCGCGCGTTAGAATACACAGTAGGAACTATATGCATTTTCTATAATCTGGGAACACCAAAATGCACAATGTTTGGACTCAATTTAATTAAAAACTATAATCCTGTTAAATTAACGTAAAAATACTACAAACGTGCTTTTAAAATTAATTTGTCACTTTTTTTCCTCGCAATGTTTGTTTGTGTTATTTAACTTTGCAACGTCATCTGACGTCACAAACGGCTCTTACGTCTATTAACCGCGTCAGTTTTGAAGGTCGTTAAATTCACATATAAGATAAACGAAATAAGCAATTATGAAGAAGGAAAATTAGAGAATGTAAATATAAGCATTGAATTCATATTTTTGGCTGCCTTCGGTCCTATAACACACCTGGCCGTGCCGACAAAATTTATCATACCGCGCTAACGCGCGATATTCAATTTGTCGGCACGGCCAGGTGTGTTATTGGACCGAAGACAGCCAAAAATATGAATTCAATGTTTAAATAATGCATTTGACTTAGTCTTTATCAGTTTTTGAATTCCATGAATGATGTTGCTATGATACAAAAAGTGAATTAAAAATGCAGAACAATTTTTGATCTAGGATGAAAATGAAAATTCCAAAACCTTTTTGCGCCTCAACTGGACTCCGACAGCCATCTTCCAGTAGATGATTAAGTTTCTGCATGAAATATAAAATGTAACAGAAATTCTGGGAACCAGGGACTATATGAGCCTTCCCCTACCGGGTGAAGATGAAAATACCAAAATCATATTCAACAACTTCCAAAAGATGATTTGGCTACTGCAGAAAATAATGGGAGAATTTCGGGAACTAGTATGCTTTGCACAAAAAATCGTCATTTTTGACCCCAGGGTGAAAATGATAATACCAAACATTTTATTACACACATGTAGGACACCAATCCTCTTCCAAAAGATGACTAGGCTACTGCATAAAATGTCAGAGAGGTTCTGGGAATCGAGTTTTCGTAGGGGAAAAAATCGATTTTACCCTCATTTTGCCCCTAGAATGATACTAAATTCCAAAACTTGATTGCACATCTATACAGCATATACCGCCTATCATATTCCAAAAGATTGATTGATAATAATTATAAATAATAATTTAAAAAAGAGAGGTTTGGGGAAGACGAAAGTGTGACAGACAGACAGACGGACGGACGGACTGGGGTAAAAACAATTTGCCCAAACTTTCTTTTAATTAGAAAGTTCTTGTAAGATTTATATGTAATATATAATATGTGTTATAGGTACTTACAAGCACTTTGAATGCATACTTTTTCTTCATACTGTAAAGAAAATTAACAGTTAATTAGACAAAAACAAGAATCAATAGCACAACTATTGAAGTACATGTAGGCAATGCCTGTTAGAGAATAACAATAAAGTTATTAGATTTCAAAATGCTGAAGAGGAACTTAAATTTAAAAATATTTATATGTCGATATAAATTAAGTATGTTGCCATCAAAATCATTACTTTAAAGTTTTAAAAAGTATCATTTTGTTTTGTGAAACCTGTTTTTCTTTTTTCAACATGATGTGAGACCCTCATGCCAGGTATAATCTAAAGGATACTGCATAAGGCTATACACATATTTTCTGGATGAATATGAAATTTAAATTTTATTTTATTTTTTTTTAATTAAGAATAATAAATTTTGCTCACATTTCTGTCAATGGAGTTAACGGCTTTTTCTGCATTCATTTTGTTGTTTACACAAATGTTCTTTGAACTTAGTTCACGTCAAGGACTCTATCGCACCAGTGACAATAAAAAAAATGTATTCTACAAATAAGTTACTCTAAAAGCGGGTGTTTTGGAATTATGATTTAATTAACTTGGCATATGGTACCGCTAAAAGGTAAATATTTTTGAAGTCCAGTATCTGAATTTCAAACAGGTGTTACAATGTACAGTAGTCGTAAACAGTTTAATTGGTGGAACAATGGAGGAGGTAAAGGGAGGGATATTATAAAAGCATGAATTCGAAAACAGAATTTTTGTAGAGGCAAAATGAAGTTCTTGGCCATATTCCTGATCCTTAAAACAAGTAAGTTGGAATTCGATTGCTAATATACGTGTACAATTTTTTACAAATATATTTCTTTGTAATACTATTTAATATTCTTTCGGAAGAATAAAATTCTTTCGAACTAACTCCATATTTGTTCAGACGAATTAGATTTTATCCAGGAAATTAGAAATTTGATCTGACAAATCAGAAATTTATTTAGACAGATTAGCAATACTTTCGGATACTCTTAGATATTTGTTCAGACAAAGAACTATTAATAATGAACGCTATTTGTCGCCGGCGTGTCGCAGTGCTCTAGATCTAAAATTGAGGAGTAAAGAATTCATCCAAATGCAACTTTTCATTGAGTCAAATGCTGACTGACGTTTTTCATACAAATTGTTAGTCCATTATTTACACACTAAATTGACGAGAGATTTTCAGTTTTTTTCCCGATCATGACAAGAAGCATAGGGCAGCTGTGATGACCGGTCGGGTGGGGATGCTCACTCCTCCATGGTATTTGATCCCACCTCTGATTTTTTTGGTATATTTTTTGTATATTTATCAAAAAAATCCCGTTAGTATCACAACTCTAAATTTTTCAGAACGCAGGAATGAAATTTGAGAATTCTAGCATGAATTTGAGTTTATTTCGACCCTGTCTTTCAGTACTGTCTCAGTACATAAAAAATATCTTTATAAATTTTGTGATTTTTTTTCAGTATGCTTTGCTAGTTTGGGAGCAGTATCTGATTCAGGTACGAAATTCTTTGTATCAATCATTTTTTTTAAAACAACTTGTAAATTTGTGCATTATCTTTTGAATGTTTTGCCTTTTAAATATACCTGTTTCTTATATATCAAGGACACAATAACAATGAAAGATTTCATGTTAACGAAGAAAACAATAATTTTTTTAAGGTCTATGCTGCTTTACATGGAAACTACTCTTTGCATTATATTCTACACAATGCTAAATTTAAAAATTTTAAAAATCATTTGAGAGATTAAAACAAAGTCGTTCAAACTTCTGGTCCATAACACGAAAAATTAGATATTACTATGTAATTATTGGTTTACAATTTGGGATAATGGTTTTTGGGGTAAATGGTATGAGGGATTCACTTCGGGATTACATCAAACATCTTCCATCTTATTTTCAAATTACATGAAAAACTTTTGAATTTGAACCAAGGGAAAACAGAATTTGCTTAAATAATACAGATTGTTCTTTACTGCAGAAGTCTTAAAAGGATATAGAAAATGGAGACATCTTGGGATTTAAAAACAAATGGTAGAAGTGTTTTTAATATTTCCAAAAGATGTTTAAATGATGTGAAAATTAGTAGACCATGACATTTAAAATTGAAAACTGAAAAGTCAGCTGTAAACAGGCACGTGACGTGAGAAGAGGGTGCGTAGGGGGTGTCCCCATCCCCACTATTTTTCAGACATAGCTTTTTACAATAGAAAAAGTACATTACAAGTCCGGTTGTCCCCCAACTTTTTCGTTTGCACAGTGTAATCAATTGAGGTCAACTACTTTGAAGTGTAATGTAGAAAAAAGTTGGTAATGAGGGTAGTTTTGGACACACACACCCCACAAAACAGAATTTTGGAACTTGAACAATTTATCTTCCCCTTTCATTGCTTGTTAAGTTTTTCTGGTAGGTTGGATTTTTTCTAGGTTCCCCACCTCCTTCAAAAGCAACATAAATCAGATACATTTATAATAGAAATTATGTCTTCTGTTCTCAGACTATTTAGGATGCTACCAAGACAAACATTACCGAATATTGGGTGGAAAGTCTACAAATAGCAAAGGCATGACTGTTGAAAAGTGCAAGGATATATGTCGGAATGAAAATAATAAGTTCTACGGCGTTCAGGTACATTAATTTATTAGAGAAAATATGATTATAACTTTTGTTGAATTGTACTTGAAATCAATGAATATGCCATAAACATTTCTTTGTCATTTCCTTGCAGGCTTCCACTTGGTGTTTCTGTGGAAACAATCTTCGACATTCTGTGAAAAAACCAGAGGGAGAATGCAATTATAAATGCGACGGAAATAAAATCCAAAATTGTGGTGGGAATATGAGAATGAGCATGTACAAAATATCAAACCCAGAATATTTAGGATGCTACCAAGACAAACATTACCGAATATTAGGTGGAAAGTCTACAAATAGCAAAGGCATGACAGTTGAAAGGTGCAAGGATATATGTCAGAATGAAAATGATAAGTTCTACGGCGTTCAGGTACATTAATTTATTAGAGAAAATATGATTATAACTTTTGTTGAATTGTACTTGAAATCAGTGAATACGCCATAAATATTTCTATGTTATTTCCTTGCAGGCTTCTACTTGGTGTTTCTGTGGAAACACTCTTCGACATTCTGTGAAAAAACCAGGAGAATGCAACTATAAATGCGACGGAAATAAAAACCAAAATTGTGGTGGGAGTTGGAGAATGAGCATGTACAAAATGTCAAACCCAGAATATTTAGGATGCTACCTAGACAAACATTACCGAATATTGGGTGGAAAGTCTACAAATAGCAAAGGCATGACTGTTGAAAAGTGCAAGGGTATATGTCAAAATGAAAATACTCAGTACTACGGCCTCCAGGTACTTTAATTTATATGAGAAGATATAATCATAACTTTGTTATATTGTACTGGAAATCATTGAATGATGCATAAACATGTCTTTGTCATTTCCTTGCAGGCTTCCACTTGGTGTTTCTGTGGAAGCGCTCCTCGACATTCTGATAAAAAACCAGAAGGAGAATGCAATTATAAATGCGACGGAAATAAAAACCAAAATTGTGGTGGGAGTTGGAGAATGAGCATGTACAAAATCGCAAACTTAAATTATATAGGATGCTACCAAGACAAACATTACCGAATATTGGGTGGAAAGTCTACAAATAGCAAAGGCATGACTATTGAAAAGTGCGAGGATATATGTCGGAATGAAAATACTCAGTACTACGGCGTTCAGGTACATCAATTCATTAGAGACTTGATGTATTTGTAAAACACTGATGCCGCCGAATGGAAGCTTATGGCGAAGGTTGAATTTTCTCAATTGCATGCAAAACTCCAAAATTAAAGGTCATGGTCAAAAGTTTTAGTACCCTAAGAAGGTTTTTTTATAAGGAATACACCTGTAAAATATGAAAGCTCTAGCTGTAACTGTTCAAAAGCTCTGACCAAGGATAAAGTATTTTAAAAAGTGGGTCAAACTCTTAGGTCAAGGTCAAACATACTTATACCAGCTGAAAGGTCTTGTCACAATGGATACACATGTGAAGTATGAAAGCCCTACCTCTATCTTATCAAAACTTATGGCTAAGGTTACAATGTGGTATTTTTGTAAAAGTAGGTCAAACTCCAAGGTCAAGAGGTCAATTTCGGTGGTACCAAAAGACAGATCTTTTCACAAGTAATACACCTATGAAATAAGAAAGCCATAGTCCCACCCTCTCAATAGTTATGAGCTTCATAAATGTTGACAACAAACAATCAGAAAAACAGACAGACGCGACAAAATCAATATTCCCCGGGATTTTTCGATCCAGGGACATAAAAAACATAACAATAACTTTCTTTAATTTACTGGAAATCATTGAATAATGAATACTGTATACAGGGTTATTTTCGCCCCGTGTAATTTTCGCCCTTTTGAACTTGTGAACAATTTTGCCTAGTTTTAAATTGGCCCAGTCATAGTTCTGTTTAAGAAACTATGAGGTGTAATTTGAATTTGCCCCGTTTTAAATTCGCCCAATCAAGGATACGGCGAAAAGGGCGAAAATAAAACGGGGGCGAAAATTTTCCTGTATACAGTAAACATTTTTTGTCATTTCCTTGCAGGCTTCCACTTGGTGTTTCTGTGGAAACAATCTTCGACATTCTGTGAAAAAACCAGAGGGAGAATGCAATTATAAATGCGACGGAAATAAAAAACAAAATTGTGGTGGGAATATGAGAATGAGCATGTTTAGACACCCAGACTATTTAGGGTGCTACCTAGACAAACAGTACCGAATATTGGGTGGAAAGTCTACAAATAGCAAAGGCATGACTGTTGAAAAGTGCAAGGAAATATGTTGGGATGAATATAATCAGTTCTACGGCCTCCAGGTACATTCATTTATTTGAGAAAATACAAGTTGCTGTCCTTTAAAAAGGACTGCAATACGTGAACCATATGCATGTGTTTCTAACCGAAATTCAATTAGAGAAAATTTCTAAATTTTGTGAATGTTCATGTAGGTTCGTTCACATTTATACAATGATCTGCCTACTTTGACTGATAGTACTTTCACAGCAATCTTGTTTAATTTGATCTCCGATTAGATTTCGTTTTATTTTTAAAAATCGGGCTATTTTGATAAATTAATCCATAACCGCTGGAATTTGAGATCTGTTCTGGAAGAAATCTATCATTGGAAAAAATATCTGATGGTACAAGTGTAGCACAGCTCTGTAGTGCAAAGATTTTTTTATGGTCCCATCTCCACTCCCCCACATGGAAAACCTTTGCTACAGGCCTGTATCAAGCTGTGTTTGGAATTCTGCAAATCAAATTATTTTGCGAGTCTTGATGGTCAAAACAAACGCCTAGAAAACTTGTTCTATCTTTTAAAATCTAGAACTAGTCGTTGAATGAAGTTTTTAATACATGTTGTTAAGTTATCTAAATACTGCAAGTTCTTCTTGCTTTTTAAAATGCTTGTGCCATATAATCAATGTTTAGTTTGTATATCAATGTATATGATTGATTGATTGTATGTTGTTTTACGTCCCTCTGGAGAATTTTTCACTCATATGGAGACGCTACAATTTTGCCGGTGGAAAGCTACACATTTTATCTTTTACTCGGCACTTACGGCCATTGAGCAGTGAGGGATCTTTTTCGTGCCAGCACCTACTGCGACACGGGACCTCGGTTTATACGGTCTTATCCGTAGGACCGGTCTCCACGTCCCACAGTGGGATTCGAATCCGCGACTTAAGGATTGACTCCTTACTTCGCGACTCTAGAGCGGACGCTCTAACCACTGCTCCACGCGGGCGACAAGCATATGTATTAGAGAGAAATTAGGATCCGCAATTAATATTTAAATACGATATGCAGATTTAAAAGCAAGATTTGCCAATGATTGGCATATACTAATTCGAAAAGGGCGAAATCTTTTACGGGAGAATTGTCTTAGGGGCGAACTCTCTAGCATTCTCGCGCATGCAGTTTAATCTTGCTAGTATATTTTCTGCGTGGACATCAGGATCCATGCAATAATTATAAATATGTTAATTGTACTGGAAATCACTGAATGCGCCATAAACTTTTTTGTCATTTCCTTGCAGGCTTCTACTTGGTGTTTCTGTGGAAACACTCTTCGACATTCTGATAGAAAACCAGAGGGAGAATGCAACTATAAATGCGACGGCAATAAAAACCAAAACTGTGGTGGGAGTTGGAGAATGAGCATATATAACAACCCTGACGTAGACTTACTAGTCTGCCAATAAAGAGGACACAGGTGTGTAATTTTATTTATATTTTTTTTCAATATACTGTATACAGGTAAATATCGCCCCTTTCGCCCTAGCCTCATTTGGGCGAATTTAAAACGGGGCGAATAAAAAAAGAATACGGTATAATTTATTGAACAAAATTACCACTGGTTGAATATAAAACCTGGCAAAATTGTTTGTAAATGTGAAAGGGCGAAAATAACACTGTATACAGTATATATAGTCGCATAAAAAAATTAGTTTGGCGTATACTGTGAATTCACTAATTTTCATTGGGGTTTAATTTTCGTGGTTTTCAAGGTATGATTGATTGATTGATTGATTGTGTATTGTCTAACGTCCCATTCGAGAATTTTTCACTCATACAGAGATGTCAGCGTATGCCGGTGAAGGGCTTCAAATTTAGACCTATAATCGGCACTCAGGGTCATTGAACACTGGACAATGAACAGTAAGGATTCTTTATCGTGCCGATGCCTACCGTGACACGAGAACTACGTTTTTAAGGTCATGTCCGAAAGACCCGTGACTTTCACTTCTAGTGCCGAGCGCTTGGCGAAGGAACAGTCAGTACCTATATTTATGCCTAACGTTTGACGCGGCGCCGCTAACGAGAATCGAACCCGGCCCTCCATATCACGAAGCGAACGCTTTTCAAGGTACGAAGAGACCTAGGATTTTATGTCCACCACGAAATGCATTTTTTTTCACATAAATTACTACTGAACAATTATTCAACCGTGAAATTAAATCCCCATAAAACAATATATTTTCCTCAAACCTCCAAAACTTCACCCCTCGAAAATAAGATTTTTACAGTAATTTCGTTGATAATTGTTTACAATGAAATTAACGAATTTATTCTCCAAAGAATTAATGTTTTTATCATTCAAAAGAATGTTGCTTTGCGTTTAATTTTGTTTTTTCTTTGAAGGTTTCGAGTTGACATTGAAATAAATCGATGCACCCAAGAAAACGGACATCTTTTTTTATGCCTTTTCTGTCAACTGTTTTAATTATATACGAAATAAATTCTTCAATTATTCCCTTTTTCTATTGTAAATTACAGTTTTTTAAAAGCAAATTTGTTTTGTTTTATTTTTTCCAAAATTTGTTTTTACATTAAACTATTATTAGCCACTTCTTTGGAACCGCTGAACTGCTGAACTGCTGAACAATATCAACCAATTTGAGCATATCGCATCAATGGGAACAAAAACAATAAAAATTAATGGAATCTAAAAACCTTCGTTTTCATTCCTGAACTTCAAACATTAAATTGATGACACGACTATGATCAGCAAGAAGCCCTTTATTAAAATTGTAAAATTCATAGCCCCAAAGAAGGTAAATCTGTTGTTATGGCAGAGCTATGTAGATCATATAATGAAAGTGCATATTAATTATATATACTCGCACTTTCTAAATAAAGTACGGGTATATATTCGTCCGTCCGTCTGTCACACTCTTCTCCCTCAAACTGCAAACATTTTACACAGTATTCTAATCATCTTTTGGGATATGGTTTTTGGCGTAGATGTGCAATAAGGTTTCGCAATGTTCATTTTCACCCTTGGATCAAATGGGGTTAAAATTGATGTTTTATGGAAAAGGTTCTGGTTTCTTAAACTCCTTTTACATTTTAAATAGTAGCCTAATGATCTTTGGGGAGATGGATGATGGTGTCTTGTAGATGTGCAGTAAGGTTTTGGAATTTTTGTTTTCATCCTTAGGGTCAAAAGTTGCGTTCTAATAAAAAAATATCTGGTTACCAGAACTTCTTTTACATTTTATGCTGTAGTACAAATCATATTTTGGAAGATGATTGTCAAAAAGTTTCAAAATTTGCATTTTCACGTTGAATGGCGAATTGGGGCAGAAAAAAGCCCCATCCTATCCCACAGGGTATTGATTTGCACAAATATGAATCTACACTACTTGTTGATGAGAATGTTTCCATATGATTAATATGATAAATAATCATTGTCTTGATGTTCTTCTGAAGAAGAATTTTGAAGATTTTTTTCTTGATGTCTATATAAAACTTTGATCCCTTATTCTGGTCCCACCATACTTCTAGATCTGAAGGTCATAATTTGAAAAAAAAAAATATATGAAGTTTTCTCCCCTAGCTGCACATTTCCATGTAAAACTATGGATATCCACATGTGGACTGTTCTTCCCCAGGGATCATATTTTGAACAAATTTAATCTACACTTTGTCAAGAAAGTTTTATATACGAGGGCCGTTCAAAAATTACGCGGACTGTGCTATTACGAGTATTTACTCTTACACACGTCATATAGTTATGAAATTTCACAGAAATATGTATCTTAAAGATTTCAATAAAATTTGGGCAAAATTTCTGTATTTTAAAAACATTCTGCGAAAATTATCGGTATGTTGATATCGCTGATGGAGAGGTACGGAGCACGACAAAAAAATTGAAGCAAAGGCATGCGGAATCCAAAATTTAACTCATTAATTTTCTATAATTCGCGATATTTTTCGACAATTTTCTCAAGTATACCTTTATATTGTTCAATTATTATGTATTTAGATTTCTGACATGATATTCGAAGTACTAACAGAAATATAGTGATTTTTCCCGATGCAATTCCCGTGAAAATGACGTCTCCTGAATTGACGGCGCACCACACTTTTGTTAAATTATGTGTAATGCTCAAGATATCGCCAACATAGATCCTAAATATGCATAATAAAACATGTAGTAAACTAGGGTATTCGTGACATTCGTCCACAAATCGCAAAATGAAATTTTAGACCGTTAGACCTCTGTAAAAAGGATATACGGGAGGACGGGGCGAAGATTATCGACGAAAACTTTATCCGGACTGTAAAGAACGTGATTGAGAGTCACCAATATCACACTATATCTCATAAATACCTGCAGTTTTTTGTTTTAAAACAAAAAAAAAATTCTTTACTTGTTTAATAGATTTTAAGCTCGACAAGAAATGGTATTTGGATATTGAGTAGATAAGGTAACTCAAACTGTACAGGTACTCTTGGGAAAATGTTGAGAAAATGAAAGCTCAATCACATATTTTTAGCTCAGCTGGTCAGAGACCAGAAGAGCTTATGCAATAGTAATGCGTCCGTCGTCCGTCCGTTAGCTGTCCGTACGTCTGTCTGTCTATAAACAATTTTTCAAAATGCTACTCCTCCTACAGTTCTGGTCCGATTTCAATATAACATGGCACACAAGTAGACTACACTTAGATACATAGAATAGTGCATCGGTTTTTGATTTCAATGAACAGTGTTGCCGTGGTTACTAAAAATAGAAATTTCTGTGAAATTCTTTCAAAATGCTACTACTCCTACAGTTTTGGTCCGATTTCAATATAACTTGGCACACAAGTAGACTACACTAAGATACATAATTCTGTGCATCGGTTTTTGATTTCAATGAACGGTGTTGCCATGGTTACTAAAAATAGAAATTTCTGTGAAATTCTTTCAAAATGCTACTCCTCCTACAGTTCTGAGACCCATTTTACAGAAGAACTCACGACTAAGACCAAAAACTTCAGATGATTGTAAAATTTTGCAAACTTAATAATTCTCATCAAAATTACTTGTGTAAAAATATCTTACCACATTTCTTTTAAAAAGTTTCTAATGATTTTCTATATAATGTTTATTAAAAAGTAATATGAAGAATTAAATTTGGTCTTAAGTCGTAAGACATTTAGTAAAACGGGCCCCAGGTCCAATTTCAATATAACATGGCACACAAGTAGACTACACTACACTAAAATACATAATTTTTATTTTGATGAGTGGCAAGGATCATTTTTCTATTCATTGCTGTTTTAAATTTTCAAGTCCCAACTGCTACTTCCTCTTCCTTTGTTCTAAGTATAAAAGAGTAGAGTGACAGTCTTGATAGAGACTTCTAGTTTTTACAATGCCTGTGACGTCGAAGATTTTGCTGCTCCGTGACTTAATGATATGTCCTGATAAATCACTCAAAATTGTTACCAATTTACAACATTTTGATATGAAATTTTGAAGACCATATAAGTAAAGATTCATTGATATTATGTGTGACATTTTGCTTGATTATGTCGTCAAATATTTTTTCTGTGCAACAAGTCCGCGTAATTTTTGAACGACCCTCGTAAGTTTTTTTTTGGTTCCAGTGGTTCTTGATTACAAGTTTTAAATGACACCACCAAATTGTCACCAAGTCTTAATTACCGTATAAGTGGAAATTTTAACGAGACGGAAATTTAGTGATTTGTCCTTAAAAATTGATATTTTACGTATATTTAGCGAGATTTAATTTTAGCGATTTAAAAAAGCTCGCTATAGAAGCTTTTACAAATAAAGCGCAATTAATTTTTAGCGATATTCAATTTTTAGCGATCTTTGCATCCTCGCTAATAATGCCAAATTTAAATCCTCGCTTAAAATTCTGCTTATACGGTATCTTCCCTTGAAAGAGGGTGTTGTCCTTATACAAACTTTAATACCCTTTACCCAAGTATGCTTTGTGGCAAGGTTGGTACAAATTGGTCAAGTGGTTCAAAATGTAAGGATTTTACAGACAGACAGACAGACGACAGACAAAATGAGATCAGAAAACCAGAAAACTTCTTAACAATTAAGACATGCAGAGATGATGTCTTCCTCTCAGTTTCTAAAAGGTATACGCATGCATTGTTACAACACATTTTGAAAAATTACGCACCTTGAAAAAAAATTTATTTTTGTTCTTTTTAAAGTGCGTTACAATCGACGATATTAAAGCACTTAGGTTTGGAGGAAAGCTTAATCTATTTTTCATTAACTTTACATGAACTTAAGGAGGTTGGTTCCTGTCATCAAACGTATTGAGAATTTTTTGTCAAGATAATTTTTAAAATCTACACTTAGCTTAATTTAAAAAAAACCAAAAATGTGGCGGGGGGTAGTGCACTCCTTTTACACGAAGCACTACGGAGCAATTAAGAAGACCACTGTAATTACTTCTAGTTCTGACACATAAATAATTTTTCAAAGTTTTTTCTGTAATATTATTTTAGTATTCATATGAAGCAGAATTTGTGCATAATCTTATGCGTGAAAAGATGAAAGCACTTGCTGTGGCCTTCAACTCGACATTTACATATATCGACGACGTACTGTCAATTAACAATGGTATTTTCCATTCCTATGTCGATGCGATATATCCTGGGGAGCTTGAGATGAAAGATATCACAGAGTCTGACAGATCTGTTTCATCTGTTTGGATATTTTATTTGAAAAAGACGTTAATGGTAATCTAACAACTAAGCTCTATGATAAACGCGATGACTTGAACTTTTCTATCATCAACTTCCTCTACTTATTCAGCAATATACCTTCAACACCTGCATACAGAGTTTATATAACTCAGTTGATTCGAAACACGACATTATGCTCTACGTATAAACAATTTCTATAACGAGGTAAATTATTGACAAACAAGTTGATGAAACATTTTTAAGAATATCAGCATTATTGTATAAGGTCATCATTTCGTTAGTTCTATGGTCGATACAATGACCTTGTCCGCAATTACAATTTATCATTGAGTAAAATGCTGACTGGCGTTTTTCATACTAATTGTTAGTCCATCATTTATACACTGAATTGACGACGGTTTTTTCCGTTATTTCCTGATCATGACACGGCGGGTGTGACCGGTCGGCAGGAGATGCTCTCTCCTCCATGGCACCTGATCCAGCCTCTGATGTTTTGGAGGTCCGTGTTTGCTCTGCTCCTGTTTGGTATTGTTTTATGGACTTTTGAGCTTGAGTGCTGTTCGTTATATCCATATGCTTCATCCAAATGAATTATTGGAACAAAAACAGTCTTTTTCATCTTACATAGTCACATTAAAAATTGTTACAGTAAAAGCAATTTCAAATTATTTAGCATAGTCAATTGTTTAACCTTTCTGGACTCAAAAAGTATAATTCTTTTGGAGATAAAATTTTAAATTTTAAAAAGCTATAGAATCATTTGAAAGTAACGACTTTTTTTTAATTTAAGGACAGATACAAACAAACTTAATATGTCAAAAAAATTGAAAATAACAATTTTGTTAATGTTCAAATGAGTAAAATGAATAAATGTCACCGCGTAGTTATTAATTTTTTATTCAAAGTTATATGAAAATGGGATTTGAAGTGAAAAATATTTGTATATATTGATAAACACGGTTTCAGATGGACAGACTTTTGAACATCACAGAAGGTTTATAATTTCTTTATATTCTAGAAATTTATTATTTGCATCATTCGCAATGAAATTAGGCCAAAATATATACCAATCCAGACATCCATTTTTTTGGTATCCACTGTCCTTAAACAGAATGGTTAAAATTATCTTATTTATTCAGAAAATGAACTAAAAACTGGGGGGTCTGTAATGTTAATTTTTGATATTACTAAAAAAGTGTTAATTTTAAGCTTAAATTGGGCAATTTTTTCGATGGACTTTCACGATATATTTGATATATTTGCTAAATATGATGATAGAATTTAATATATAATTAAGGACCAACACAGAGCATTTCACTGCACAATATTACTTTGTGTGCAAGTTGCATGTAAAAATAGGAATTTAAACTTTTTAGTATTAACAATACTGAATACTTCAGGATGAGAAAAAATGATCTCTTTCTTCTAAAAACACCTTCCGCGACAAAATATAGTTCCTCACTTAATGTCTTTGGTATGGAATTAAATACTTTTTTAATTTAATATGTTCTTTTTATAATAAATACACATGTACTTGATTTGAATCAGAGGTATGGGCAAGATCCTAAGCTTTCAAATCATTAGAGAAAGTGTTAGAGGACTGTTCGTCTTCAGGATACCTTTTTTATTTGCTTGTTTCATTGCCTGTTTGTTCGTTTGTTTATTTTTAAGTTAACATATTTTTCTGTATGCTATAGCAAAATTAAGACGTAAACTGTCAACGTTTTCCAATCAGGAAAACAAATTTGCATATTAATTGGATGACAAAAAGTCCTGAATGTTTTACAGAAAGCTGTAACAATACATGTAGTCAGCAGATTTTCCAAAATTTAACAAATATTTAAAATTTAATTAATTTGATTTTTCACAAGTACTTCTGTATTTTCCCTGTAGATGTATTATTATCTCACGATTAAGGCAATTGCAAAGGCCGGTAAATTTAATTTTTTGGCCATGTAAACGGAATAATATTTAATCGTATTTTCTTTGAAGAGCTATTTTTCGGCGATAAAAGGGGGTGACACTGTTACAAATTACTGCTGTTCGTAAATAACTCTGATAATTATCAAAATAATTTCGAGTTGTTCGAGAAAAATTTGCAATACGATAAAATACAGAATAAAACTTTTTCGTTTATCTAAGGATTCATCACTTGTTCGCTATAACGAGATACTGTCTTTGTTAACTAACTCCGAAGTTTTTAAAGTTGTATTTATAACAAAATTCGAAAGAGGTGGTGCCATGGGGATCTGTCAAATCTACGTAAAATACTGACGATACACAGATACTCAATCTCAATATTAATTACTAATGATTCCAATCTGTCTCAAGTTGACTTCGATTAGAATTTTCTGAAATATAGAAAGCATAAAACATTGCAGTATAAAATGGAACAAAAGCTTCTCTGTAGTTACACGTAGATTTTAGAATTTAATATATGATTATCAAAAGCCCGTATTTTGTATGATTTTTTCCCCTCTTTTTAACAGAAGGTGCTAGATCAATTCAAGATAATCATGACGACAAGTATATTTAAAATGTTATGAATAACTATTCATAAAGTTGTATCTTATCAATTTTATTCAGAATATTAAATATGTAGAATATGCGAAGTCAACATAAATATTTGTATAAAAAGGCGTTAAAAAATAAGAGACATAAACGAACAAATAACAAAAAGAGGCAGTTCAGAATACCCATATTTAAGACTTTTGCGGACAAATTCTTGTGAACACATTCCTTATGCGAAACAGCTTTTACGCGCGAAAATATCAACCAATGTTAGTTCTCTCTTCTGCATACAAGGACCGGAACTGGGGAATGGTGCATGACGTAGTCACTAACGCTGCCCAGGAACGTTCTGCGCAACTTGCTCTGTCCTCTACTTCCGGTGATGATCAATGACGCATTAACTTCTTTTGCAATATTAAGAATTCCTTCTCCTGGTTTTTCTGCGTGTGTGCTTTTAACTGTTCCTTCCAACTACAATCACAAACAAGAGGCCCATGAGCCACATTGCTCACCTGAGCACTTTGGCTAAGAAAAAGCAAAAATCAGTCTTAATTGAAGTTGAAATGTGAAAAAGGGAGAGGTGGTCATGATTTGAACAAACTTGAATCAACTCTTCCAGATGATCCTTCCATAATATGAAAATGACTAATCATGGCTTATGTACATTTTTCAAGATTTTTACCTTTACGTTTATCTGCTATTCTCCTGTAAAATTTTTATCCCTCGTGTGATCCCACCCTACCCTCGGGGTTAATGATTTGAACAAATTTGATTTTACAATACCTGAGGATGCTTCCATAAAAGTGTCCATGTAAAGAAAAGATTTTTTTCTTATAACGGTTGTATCCCTATAGGTAAACCTTACTGATCCATTGTTTATTATTACCAATAAGGGTTTCTTGAGAAGAAATTTGTTCAGGGTTTTTCCCAAATACTGTAAATCACGTTTATCTTCGCGTAATTACGCAAGACAATGAGCTCGCGAAAATTTCACTCTCGTGTATAAAAATATTCCTTACGATTATATACAGAAAAACAAACAACAATTCGTGAAAAATATGTCTCGCTAATAAAGAGTCAACGGCGATCTCGCGAAAATAAGGTGTCGCGAAAATTTAGTGATCTACAGTAGACAATGCATTCCTTAAACTTTGAATGCCCATTGTTAAACACCCTGAACACCAGGGATTATTATATGAGCTTTTGATCTACTCGAGAATGCCTTCATATGAAAATGATCAATCATGTTTTTTGCTGTTCTTGAAAAGATTTTTAAAGATTTTTACTATACATTCCATTCCAAAACTTTTATGGCCCATTGTGGCCCACCGGGGTCATGCTTTGAATTAATAAAATAAATACTACACTACTTCAGGATGCGTTAATATATAAACCAACAATCAAGACTTTATTGTTCTTAAGAAGATTTTTCTCTAAATAAATTTCAATGTAATATTTTGATTCCTTGTTGTCTCCCGCCTTACCCAAGAATAAATTAGTTGAGCAATTCAGAATGTATACTATTTCAGGAAGATCCCACATTCAAAAATGCAAATTTCACATTTTCTGGCAAAGTGGTTCTTGAGAAAAAAATCTTTATAAACTTTTCCTACATATTTCATTTGAATTAAAGGTTTATGCCCTACATTGTGAACGTACTTAATCCCAGGAGGGCATCATTGGAACAATTTGGGATCTACACTACCTGAGGATGTTTAATTTGCACTTAAGTTTCACCTTTTCTGGCCCAGTGGTTCTTGAGAAGATTTTGTAATGACATTAACCTGTTTTTCTCTTTTATTAATTGTCTCCCCTCGTCTTGGAAGGAGGATTTGTCCTTAGGTTTTCACAACTTAACTTCCTTTATACCAACTTTGTACCAACTATCGTTAAAATTAGCCCATTCGTTCTTGAGAAGAAGAGAAATAATGAGAAAAGTTCAAAGATGGACGGACACGGACAAAAGGTGATCAGAAAATCTCACTTGGACTTCCATACAGGTGACTTAAAAAGTTATAAAGAATTAATAATGCTGGTAGCAAAAAACAGCAAAACGGAAATTAAGTGTTTTTTTTAAATGGATTAACATTAAACAGACCTTAGCATAATAGTTGCAATTACATTGCAGAGGACAGATTTAACAGACAAAATTGTGATACAGTGTACCATTTTCAACAAAAGTGATCTATATTACTGTGACGTTTGCTTAAATTGCTTGCTAGATTTCAGTGTAGGATTTCATCATTAAGTCGTTTTCTTTAACGATAAGAAAGTTTGATCGATGCTTCGCCAACAAAAGAAACATTGTCTCCTGCCATTACGATTCCATTTAATGTCACATGACTAATACTGAACTGATCTTTCAAAGAAACGCTGTGTTACGGCAACAATACACATAGAATTTGTACAATAAAACGAAAACGTTTTATAATACTTTCTATATAAATAATGTTTTCATCACAAATAACTATGGTATACATTTAAAAGTATTGCAAAAGGTATATACATAGTTTGGACTCTGGGGACAATAACGTAAGCCTGGCCTGTTCATCTCTTTAAAATTGTATCAAGTGCACCTCATTAAATTCAAGATGTTCATTCATTTTTTTTATATACTTTGTCTTATTTTTGTTAATACTAGACGGGTATACAAAAAATAGGAGGGACTTTATAAATCACTGGGATAGAGTGGGGATGATGGGTCAATCCCTATGAACTATTTGACAATAAATGATGTAAAATGGTACAAAATGCCTTTGAAATATATACAGCATACATCAGTGCTTGTCATATACAGGGGTTTTGTGAAAGTTTCACTATATTGTACTTCATTAAAGCTGTACACGATTCGTAAAAGGAATTTGTCCGCCATATTCGTTTATTTACTCGCTAAATCTGAGGGCCTTTATATAAGACACTCACTTCGACACTGTTTAATGTAATCAGTGAGTCACCTTTGTCGGCGGACGCATGCTACATGTAGCATTTAGTAACGCCAAAAAATAACTATGTACTTCTACTATGTCAGGAGAGAAAGATACCAAAGAAACTTACAAAAGTTGCACAGCTCGGTACAGTATACAAACAAAGTTATCACTTAAAAACATGTAAATGCAATAAAATGTAAACAGTGGTAATGTAAGAAAACCAGCACGAATATGACTCACCATTCGCGCCGATATTAGTACCCTTAACAATAAAACACGAGTAACAAATGCGAAAGGTATACCCTGGTGTTAATATATAATCAAATATGGTATGTGCATGCCTTTTTAGCGAGGATTTAATTTTAACAGAAATTAGCGTTATAAAATCAGATCGGAAAAAATTGATTATCGCTAAAAATCAATTTCGCTTTATTTGTAAAAGCTACTTTAATGAACTTTTTTAAAATCGCTAAAATTACATCTCGCTAAAAATAGAATACCAATTTTTAAGGACAAACAGAAGTTAAATTATAAATTCTGGCTAAAATTTTCACTTATAGATATAATAAATGTAAGTAATTACGTTATAAAACATTATATTTAAAATCTCTTGAAATATCACTGACATTCAAAATATTGAAATTAAAACGCATTAACAAAGAAGTTGTCGGATACTAGTATTCTAATTCACTTCGCACATCAATGTATACGATTTCGATGTAAGGGACACAGAAGTTAAAGGGTTTTATAAATTCTGGAATGAATTAATTTCCCATTCAAGATTACATAAATGTAAGTATTAGGCAAACATTTTATTTAAATTTATCTCTTTCAGTATCACAGACATGATAAAATTTGATATCGGGTTCTTAAATCACTCAACAAGAAAGAGAGCCACTCTCACTGATAAAATAGCTATATAACTGTAATCAAGTCAGCAAACAGCTATAATGGGGGTGAATAGGTGAAATAAATAAGCTAGAATGTGTCTTCTGGTCCACATCATCCAAAGCTTTGTAATCAATAAGGGCATGGTTTGGTCCTTTATCAAACCTTTATATTATATTTACTGATTAGAAATCATCCTATCATTGTCTCAGGCGTACAAATTCGTGTTTACTTAATTAACTTTATTTACTTTCATGCTCTCGTTTTTATGATTGTTTGACGTACCTTCGAGCATTTTTCACTCATATCCAGACGCCACCACTTGCCGGTGGAGGGCTGCAAATAATAGACCTGCAGAGGGCGCTTACGGCCCGCTTGGCACACCTCGTCCGATTTGTCCCTCATCTAATGTTTGGTGGAGGGGACGAGGTTTGCCGAATGGATTACACGCCCTTGGGCTAGATGTGAGGGATCTTTTTCGTGTTAGCGCCTATACTGTGACATGTGACCTATATTTATACGGCCTCGATCCACGTCCTGCAGTGCGATTCGAACCTACGACCACTCAGAGTTCTTCGGATGGCTCGTACCTTGCACACTAACCTCGGACGTCAATAATGTTCTACCATCTTGCGTATTTAGTCATTTGATCTTTTTTTGAACTTCATTCAATTGTTAAACATTTGAAATCTGAGTTACTTTGTAACACGCCTAACACTATGTTCTACATGTAGCTATCAAAGACAACTAACATGGTTGTAATTAAAAGCAATATACAATGAAGAATTAGAAAGGGTAAAAACCCTTTTTGAAAAACTTTATGCAGAGTGAAATATATGAAATGAGTTATAATGCAGTTTCCTGCGGAGAAATGTATATGGTATTCCCGAATAAATTACTCCCGAGGTTTGAATGGAGCCTAGCGGAGTCAGCCGAGGATCGCCGATCGACCTACGACGGAAGACTATTCATCTCTTTATTCCGCGGTTCAAGAGCAAACGCTCTAACCACTGCGCCACGGACGCAGGCTATCTAGTGTATATATTTGGTATCCCGGTATTCCATCTTCTTCTTTTTTTTTGGGGGGGGGGGTATATTCATTTGTATATGCTATCTCTCAATAATTCTTCTCACCTTCATTAATCGGAGATATTTGGCGAACTCTACTAACTCCCCCTGTATTCGTTTGACTTCTTTCTGTACGAGGTCTTTGAACACTTCAGGGTCCATGTTAAATGGCGCTTAATAAACAAAGATGTGATATTTAGACACTCTATATATTGCTTAAATTGTTATGCATAAAAATCGGTCTGTAAACGTATTATGATCAAATCGTACACGTATATTTTCATATTGTATATTATGAGCATGAAAACAGAAAAAATAAAGTATATTTTTATAAATATTATGAGCATGAAAACTATATATGAACAAGACATCCTGACTTTACTAAAATGCAACTAAATGCTTTGTAGATTTTACAGAAAAGCCCCATTCTCTTTTTTTATATTTCCTTATATCATTGTCAGATACATGTTCACAAGGCTACAAATTCACACTAACAACAAATCCACGAAAATTGACATTCTTGAAAAGAAAATAAAGTTGACAATCGAACACTACCACAAGACGAGACACGTGATATTCATACGTCACAACAACAACACGTGACACGTGACATACGTATAACGTACCTGTGGTTGTGTTTTATACCTGATTGAACTTTACCTTGCTGTATGACGTCACTGACCTCGACACTGTACACAAGGAACACGTGATCACCGGGCATGTGCAACTTTTCGGCATAAACTATAAAATAAAATTCTTTTGTAAAATCAAAATTTCTAGAAACCTTCAACTACTGGGTTGTTTTGTACAATTTTTGGTATTTGCCCCTATGGCGTTAAACAAAACATTATTGTTTAAATGCCTTCAAAAAAAATTGCTTAGACATTGTTCAGTTTTCACCTGCAGGTGTGAGTCTCCCCTAAAGACATTAGATGTTCTTGCAGAATAATCAGTAATTGAGCGATTTGGCAAGTAGTTTGGTCTAACAATAAGTGCGAGGAGTATAAGTAATAACTGTGTCTTAATTGGTAATCGTATATAAATTAATGAGAATCACACATAATGTACAAAACAATGTTCGAGGTGGGAAAGTTTTAAAGCAACAGTGTTTTTGAAAAGAGGGTTTACTAGTATCTTACGAATTATCTCTAGATTTCCATAACCCCTAGACACAACAAAAAAAAGTATAAGATGAGGTTTTTTGCTCCCGTAATCGACGATTCGGGTGCATATATTGTTTTGTCCTGTTCGTCCGTCTGTCGGTCTGTCTGAGATTATAAAAAGTTCGTTGGAATTGGCTCTGGTCCTTTTCATGAATCGAACTTCATCTCCCTTTCGCAACTGATTGCTCAAAATATATACATATATTTATATCTTAAGTATTTTATAAGTTCGTAATTTATGTCCTTCGATCATTCACCTTTTCGCTTAATAAACTCTCAGATTTAAGAAGTTTAACACTCACAAATTTATACACACGCAACAGATGTGAAAGTTAAATGTTCATTCACCCAGGTTCATTCGTATATCCTGGGGATTTAGAAAAAAAAATCAGATTGTCAATAGAAACATTAAGCATAAGAGGCCTATTTTTTGTTATCGTCTTAGTAAGATTGAATCATCTCCTGTTCATCTTCTTCATCTTCGGCAAGGCTGACAGAACAAACTGCTTTCTTGTGTATTTACAGCGTATTATGATATTGAATTTACAGATATTGACGCTGACGTGCGGAATTTTAGTGAAGGAAAAGCAAAGAAAAACAGACATGCATTTGATACATGTACGTTTTCTGTGAACCAAATCTTATGCAATCTCTGTTGGTAGAATACATCACTATTTTTCTTTTTAATTTTGCGGAAGGAATGGGTTTTGGATAAGAGATGAGAGTGAAAATTATATTTTCATTTTTAAATTAGCGTAATGAAATACGCTGTTGTATATCTCCTTACTTAATCAACTCTTTCGAAAATTTAGATTTTTGTTGAAGGTTATAGCCTCAGCTGCATGTAGCACAATATGAGTTGTATTTTCATATTCTCGCTATCTGCTTTAGCGCACCATAAAAATAACATTAAGTCCCGTGGATGTTTTCTCTTTAAAGTCAGCATCTATTATCCAGATAAGCAGATCAACTTTGTGATAAGAAGAAATTGTCTATTTTAATGGTCTGCAGTACGAGGGTTATGGGCAGGTTCTAGATAGAAAGCAGCGGTTCTTCGCAGTTTCTGGTTTATTTGAGAGAGAGAGAGAGAGAGAGAGAGAGAGAGAGAGAGAGAGAGAGAGAGAGAGAGAGAGAGAGAGAGAGAGAGAGAGAGAGAAATGGGGAAAGACAGAGATTGGGGAGTGGGAGAGACAGTGGGCCACTGGGAGAGACAGTGAGTGGGGAGAGAGAGGGAGGGGTAACTAACAATTCAATAATGAATTTCAGTCGCCTTATAAATTTGATATTCGAAGCATTATCGAGATTTTTTCGACAATTGAACGTTAAACTGTATAAAAGTAATTCATATCGATTTATCTTTCGAAATAAACGTTTGAAAGATGTATGGTTCGGCCAACAGCAGTTCGAGCTATCGTTATGGTCTTAATTTCAAATTACGATTGCTCTAGATTTATTCAATTCATCCTTAAAATTAAATGGGAATACGCTTATTCTTAAATCGTATCCATTATTCATAGAACCAAACAGTCTAAGCCCAGGTTATGTAAATGTCATGGGAACTGTTTTCAATCCGTCTTAGACCAACTCCGTATCAATACGCCGACGTTAATCTTATATGAATTGAGAATTCATCAAATTGCGTCAAGCAGAGAATTTTCTTTAGACAGGAATATTATCAGAAATAAGATTTTGAGTATAAGAATCAGTTTTTTTTTTCGTTTCGTTTCTTTATGATACAGTGTATTCAATGCATGTTATCGATAATGTACCAGTAATCATATTTCCTCTCTATATTAAGCTTCCTAAAAATCTCGTTTTCGCCCGACACATATTTTAATGTATCAGTCAAATGAAACTGTAGGAAGAAATAAGTCTGAAATCATTATGTCCAATTGGATAAAGATGTGAATACATTTTTTTCTATAATTATTATGTAAATATATATACTATACACGATCGAAACATTATAATTTTGAATTGTGGTGTCTCGACATGGATTCTGGTATAATATATGTACCACCATCTTAGAGGATCGGAAGATATCATATGTTTGGATATAATCTTCATCTGGCGTCAATCTTGACGCATTATTGCTGTACTTACTGCGTTTATATTTATAGGAGAATATGTATACATTCAGTAATGAACTCGAGCCACCCTTTATAAATTGCTCAAGGTGTACACACAGTAGACAGAGAAAAAAAAGATACGTAGAATCATTAGGAATTGCCATATTTATTGATTTTCTCTGTTCTTCGTTCTCTCAACTGTTTTGTTTCACATGGAATGAAATTAAGTGCATACAGGTCGACAATGCATAAATCTTTCCCAGTATATTCTATTTCTTTAGACGATTTAAAGCAATTCGTTCGATTCAGACAAGCAAAAATACAATAACAAACAGTTCCATGGAAAGAACTTTCGGAATTTCTTTTTCAAAAAATAGATAAGTAATGTAGGTTTCCAAACGTCAGAATGTCAAATCTCTATATCACGAGATCGTCCCAAAGACAAGTACAAGTACAGCGAATTCTGGGTTTGTTGTCCTCCAATACATGAAATATTAGCTACAATTTCTCGTGTTATGGTTTTTTGTGAAATGCATTAGGATTAATTCAAGAACAAGCATTGTTGCACTGTAGGGAATTTCATAATGGCCTATTGATGTTTCTGTCGCGTAGCTGTTTATCGCCCTGATGATTGCTTAGATTCTTCACAGAATACTAGTATATGATTATTGCACATTACAATGTAACTCTGAGAGAGGGGAGAAAGAGAAAGGGGCGAACAGAGATAAATTATATCTTTGATCGAGTAACAGTTAATGATATATCTCCTGTCCTATGCATTTTTTTCTCTTTAAGCTTTAATCTAGAATACTCAGACATTCAGTAAATAAAAGAGAGGCAAGGAACATTGTTAATTGGTACCCCCTCCTCAAACTCTTTCCGACATTTTATATATATAGTTGCATGTTTGCTAATCATTTACACAATGTATAGCCTTTCTATTTGCACTTATACTGCAGATGTTACAATGCAGATCATAAAACCATCATCGACATTCATGTAACAGCAGAATAACTTATTTCTCTTTAAATATCAACAAAAAAAGTACTCACATTTCAGTGCGTGTTTCGCGTGATCGCTGCCATCAAATGCTATAACAACATTCTTAGGTAACCTAGAATCTGAAACTTCAGCCATTTCTTTTTATCAAAAAATAAATCACACTTTCATATAAAGAGATACATTAATCACGTAGATATATATTGTCCAAGCTTTCGTATATTTCCTCTGAGTGATGTCTGAAGCCAAGTGCCTTGGTCCTGTACTATGTAGTAACTAGTGAGGCTGGTAGACGGGTTGGCTTTGCCATATTCTGGGAGATCTTACAGATCGATAACAGAATACACATCCTAGTCCCTCCCTAAACCCCCCATCACCGCCCTATAGTATCGATTATGTGTCTGCGATAAAGAATTGTTCTTTCATATACGTGTATATTATTGCAAACTATCGTGATGCATCGTTAGTGTAAATAGACATTGACGAATTATATCCGAATAAACACTTCAGTGAAAGATTTTATTTCTTGGGCTCTTATTAAGTTGTCTAAACATCCTTTTTTCAGAAAAAAAATGTTCATATATGAAAGATTCTTTTTTAATCTATGGGATTTGCATGCTATCTCTTCTCTTAGTTATCTTAATTTCTAAAAATAAATCAACTTGATTCTAAGTTTTTGAAAAAACATTATATTAAAAAATACTTTTTAAGAGTTCGCTGAACATTGCTCTTCAAGATAGATAATGTTTTACCCCCTGGCGGTGGCCATGAAGGAACCGAATTCTGAATGAATTTCCTGCATGCTATGGTTTTCTCTAATTGCCACTTGATTCTAAGAATAAATATTTATAACTGTTAATGTCGATAACTTCGAATTCTGTAACTGGGTGATTGTGGCATGTAAATATAATTACCATTTGTCCTACACAGATGAAGATGTTTCTAAATAGTTCTTATTATAAGTGAGGAAAATTTGTAGAAGGGGTGCTGGGTTAAGAGCATCTCTCTCTCTCTCTCTCTCTCTCTCTCTCTCTCTCTCTCTCTCTCTCGTTTATATTTTAAAATAATTCCATTTCTATTTCTAATTCTCTGTGATAAATCTTTGAAAGTTAGTTGATTCCTTGATTATTCTACCGGAATGTAAATTTCGCCAAGCGTCTCTCCTTTTTAACATAAAAGTAGTGCGCCATTTTTTTATTTAAATATAATGAAATAAGTTTCATTCCTTATAATTTAATTTCAGTGCAGACAATGAGACAATTTTCACCCAGAATAAGGCTTCAAATTGCTTAAATTTTAAAAGTAACGTCAAGCGGAGTAATACGTTTTTTGACGTAACTCATTGTGACGTAGGCAAGTTATGTTATACAAAATGGATAAAATCTTTTATCCAATCAAATGACGTGTTACAAGTAAAATTAAATTATTCTAAAATAATTCCATTTCTTTTTTTTTATTCTCTGTGATAAATCTTTGAAAGTTAGTTGATTCCTTGATCATTCTACCGGAATGTAAATTATATTGTTAAGGTCAAGATCTAGTAAATAAGCTAATTTTTTGGTGCTAGATCCATTATGACGTCATAATCTCTCCTTTTTAACATAGAAAAAAAGTGAAATCATATGCGCCATTTTTTTGTTTTTTTTTTAAATTAATCAAAAAACTCAGTGTTCTACATGAAAAAATTTACAGCTGTCCAAGCTAAAGTTGTAAAGCATCAATAAAGGAATTTATTTCTCAAGTTTGATAAATCTGTAGACCTTTCAAAATCAATATACAGGCATTCACTAATCGAAAATGCTCACAAAAATGTCTCTGAATTCTCATAGTAATGTGTTTTTACCCACAGTAGTTCTTCAAACTTCGTCTTCAAAGTTAATCATATTATAAAGGGAAAAATAGTAAATCTCAAATTAATTTTCAGGAAATGCTTTTGGTTTATGCTTTGTAGTGGTTTTTCAGGATAGAAAGGTGGGATTCGGGCCGGATCTGCAGTCCCTTGGAATATATTGCATGGATGCAAGTATATTGTTAATTGATAAAAAGTCGTCAATATACATGTACATTATAATTATAAAAACGTTAACTACGTATATATGATGATTGTCTTATTCATCTAACAAAGTATTCAATAATATAATCAAATAAATGTTTTATTTCAATGTTTAAATTGCAAAGGATTATTCGGATCTTCTCATCAATCACCCTTTTAGGTGGGAAAAAAAATTTCATCCCGCGAGGCGGATTTGAACCACCGACCTAAGGATATCGACAGTTTAACCGCTACAGTCCTCCGCTCTACCAACTGAGCTATCACGGGATATACAATTCTGGAATAAATATAGTATATAAACATAAATTAAAGTCATTAACTTAATAATAGTCTTTTTGTTGCCATGTTTGACCTATTATTAATGATTACATATTTAAGGATAGTAATGTAGCAATTCGGTTTATCGATTTTAAAATAATCGTCTCTTATAAGCATACATCTTCATTCTTGTCGTTTCAAGCTTAGTCACATGATCAAAACATGGCCTCCATGGAAGTCCGTCATCCACAAGAAAATTATCAGACAGGATTTTCACCCGATCAAGCGACCCTCAAGCAATATTTAGAAAATGCAACAGATGCTTTACTATTCAAAAACTTTGATGCATGCATTGAAAACTGTGAAAACGGACTAAGTCGTGTAAAATTGTGTACGGAACTGGAGAATTTCAGGTAACTGGGCAACACTCGGGTAATGCATACGACTGTGGCATATTGCATACAACTTTGAATAAACAAGTAAAGACTTCAGCAACACTGAATTCAACTTATACTGTTATGTGTAAATTTGGCATTTCTCAACGAGGATACTACATTTCACTAAGTATCATGAGTACACTCATTCAGTGGGTCATGTATGGTGAATTTTCAGAACTTAGGCCTAGGGTGCACTGCAGACAACATGATAGAACCAATAGCATTTTTAGAGTTGTCCATGTACATTTCTGGAAACTGAAAAAAGTAAACGCTGAATACTTTAAACAATTATGTAGTCATGTATTAAGGAAATTAATTTAATTTTTATGCTTGAATAGTCGTGTTACTTTTACTTCTTCATGATACAATATAAATTTGCTATTGAGAAATGTAGTTAATTCTCTTCTCTTCAAAGTAGTGGGCAAACTTTCACCTACATCCAAACATCCTTTCTCCATAGAGAATATTGTTATGATGTATCTCATGAATTTTTATAAGTTAAAAATCCATGTCATAATTTTTTACAATGTTATGTAACCTTACAATTGATTTGGATTTTTGACAAAGAAATACGATGCAGTTACATAATTTATAAATGTGTGAAGCTATATATAAAAGAAAAAAAACTGTGCTTATTAAATATTTTATTTTTTTACCAGTGCTAAGGAGTACATAGAGCGACTCTGTGTTCTGGCTGTGCAGGCTCACGCTGAGAGAAACACATGGCAGGAAGTGCTGCCATTTGTTCAGAAAGTTTACGGTGACATAGAACATTCCCCTGCAGCAGTGCTACAGCTATGGTAGGTTATGGCTACTTGTGTAAGGGAAATCTAATTTCTTCTGAAATTTTGAAAAAATGTGACTCAGAAGTGAAATAAATTGAAATCATTGCAAAAATTGAAGAAAGTTCTCAGAGGAGAATTTTCATTAAAAACTTATGATTTATGTGAAAATTTATCTTATGTGAAAGAGGGAAAGGTTAGTAAAGGGTTTGTGGTCTTTATATCATGTTCTTTATCAAGCAGTTACACAACATACTTAATTTTCTACTAGGAGTTGTCCCTCTTGACACAGCTTGCTGGGCCACAATAAATGCAAATATTCTGAAAATACTGGCACTCTTGCTTATATTTTGAAAAATTCTATTTTTCTTTCTTTAATTTCTGTCTCAAAACCTCTGAATATTTAACAAATTTTTGCTCTAATTAATGTTCCGGCCCTTACATGTGAGGAGTATCATGATCTGAATTTTGGAGTGTAGATGTTAAACAATTCTACCATGTTGATGAGATGATTTTGTTTACAGCTTACTGCTGTATGCCAAACTTCAAGATTACCCACAATGCCAGGCTCTGGCCAACATTTGGCTTCGTAACCAAGACAACTTCACAGATCCTGAGTACCCACATATTGTTGACATTTACGTGCAGCATGCTATGTTTCCACGGAAACTTCACAGTCTAGTCCCAGCATTCCTGGATACTTGTCATGGATTGAGTGCTTCTCAAAAACAACAAATGATACAGGTGCCAATTAATTTATTCTTGTTGTTTTTTTTTTAACATGAGCCACATGTTCACTTAATTGTTTGTAATCAATTTCAAATTACACATAAATGTATGTTTCCATACAGTGTGCATTGCTTGTGGACTTTTTCTATGGAAACTTTGGGAAAATTTATATTTTTAACCACATAATGAGGTCAAATAATTTATTGAAAAAGAAAATGTAGAATTTTAAAAAGCTCTTATAAAATTCAAAATTTAAAGTATAAAACTAATAAAATGGGAAATATTAGTAGCAGTATAAACTAATTCATAAACCTTAATGTTAGGAGATTGTTGTCATTTTATTTTGAAACGTGAAGTATTTATTTGAACAGCAGTATGCCATTTCCATTGAAAATGAATTGAAGAGTAGCAGTGAAGAAGGTTCAAAAGGTACAACATCACCTGATAGAAATGTTGTCAGAGAAGATGAAAGTGGTAAGTAATGCTATACTGTAAACCAACTTTTATTTGCGTGTGAGAAATTTTTGCAAGAGCTTTGTCATCGCGAATATTTCTCGCTGTGAACCAGTCCTTAAAGTCTCTGTCTATATATTACAACTGATCCAAAAAGGCTTGATCGCAAAATTAATCATTGCAAACTAGTTTACCCCCACTAAATTGCGAAATAAAGTCGTTGTGAATAAAAGTTGGTTTACTGTATTTTGCAAATTGCTATTCTGCAGAAATGTGACTTTGAAGAAAAAAAACTTTATTGTATATGGATTGAATGTTGCATTCAGCTTGACAGTGCTCTTACATGTAAACATTAAAATAACAAAAACTTATTGAGAAATATTTTTAAAGAAGTAAAATTAGATCACGTTTAGACCCCCAAATTGTACGTCTATCAGAATTTACTATTCCAAGAAACATCATTTTCAGAACTTGCATGGGGCAGGGAAGGTGTTGAATCTCATTAAATTTATGTATGTTACACATATTCACTAGAATGTGAAGTATTCTTTATTGACAGTGAGTTATATTCTTGATATATAAAATCACACACTTTGGGGGTCAGATTTTCGAGTTTGAGAAAAAAATATTGGATTGTTGGAATTTGATTTCGAGGTTAGAGAATAGTTGAGTAGTTATGCTTAATATGAAATTTTATATTTCATGGTGGTCATGAATTCAAGAGTCTCTGCATTTCTTGAAAACAACGAAAAATAACCCCCAAGAAAATTTGTGATTTCACTGTATGTGTATCAAAGAAGCAGTCTGTACTAATTTTTTGTGTTGGCAGGTGAGCCAGAGGGAGTGTGGGCCTACATAAAGAGACTGAGCCTGCTGTTGTTCCAGAGAATGAAGCCCTACAGTCTGTCGGCCATTATCTCCCTCGCAGTCATTCTTCTGGCATTTTTATCTCTCCGATTTAACAAAGGTATAACTGAAAACGATAAGGAAATTCTAAACACTTTTGAGAAAAATATTTTACACCTCTTGACTTTGAGTTTGACATAATAAAAAAAATAACCATTACCTTGATGTGCCATATGGGCATCACTGTATAATATTTCAGATACATGTAATATTCTAAATATAATTTATTTTAGGTCCTTTTTCTAGGATTCAGAGTGCAGTCCTACTGTTGTGGCAACGATTAGTCTGAACAGCCTAAAATGAGAGCTAATTGGCCGAACTTGGCTAAATGTACTGCTAGAAAAATTAATTATCAAAAACTTAAATTTCAGACAAATATCTGAAAGCATTTAGGTGGTGCAAAGAAAAACAGAAGAGTTGTGATTTTACAATGTAGAATTGTACATGTATGGGATATCCCCTAAACTTGTAAATTCCTCTAATTGTGGAGTTTGACCTATTGATATGAAAAGGTATCGATGCCTGCAAATGTATTTTAAAAAAATTACCTGGTAAGTTTCATTGAATGTACATGTATCACTGAATTAAAACCTTAAACTAGTAGTAAGACACATTGTGTTAGAACAAGATTGATCTATTGTTTAAAAACATGTAACAGTTACTGAATATCTGTGGCATAACAGTAAATTAATTGGGTAAGAATGCTCACATTACCCCTTAAATGTGCAATAAATCTCTACACTTGACCTTTGTTCTTATTCATTGAAAGAGGGAAGAAGTTAAATAAATTAATATAGCTAATTTATATACTATTTACCATTCGTTTTACCTGTTCTGCATTTTGTTGCATAATTTTGAATCTAATTTTAGTTTAGAGGTGTTTTTTTTATGGTTTCCTGAATTTGGTACCAATGCAAAAATAGCAATGTCATAGTGAAAACCTTAAAATATTTTCAGTATGATATGACAAGAGCAAAACAGTTGTGAAACTTCTGAAGTACAAAGCATGTGATGAAATTGCACTATACAGTAAAACTTGGTTATAACGAAGTTGCTCGGACCTATGAAATCACTTCGCTATATCCGTAATTCGTTATAACCGTATAAGAAAGTAATTAAATTTATATATTAGGGGATCCAAGATGACTTCGCTATATCCGTGAATTCGCAATATCCGTGTTCGTACTAACCGAGTTTTACTGTATTTAGAACAAATATATTCAGGCTTCATGTAATGGTCTAGTGAGTTACAGTTTTAATTATTTCAACATTTGACTAGGAACGTGACACTATAATGTTATATGTTCTGGCAGAGGGAGTTGCAGATGCCCTCAAAATTTGCCTGCTTAAAAACAAGCTCCAAACAGCTCAGTATTACGTTATGCTACAACTCCAGAACAATTACATATTCGTAGGGAAAATGCAGTCCCGGAGAACTGACAATGTATGGAGTTTGTCTTTAAAAGTGCAACATAGGAATGAAAGCCTTCATGCTACAATTCTTCCTATACATGTAGTGACCTTTCATTTTCAGACATTGCTGGGCAATTCCTCTATGAAAAATTTAGTTCATTAAAAGATCTAAGATTACTGAGAGATCAAAATTAAGAGAGATCACTCTAAGACTGAGAAAGACCTCAAAGAAATCCTAATGTGTTCAAACGTTGAGCAATTGTGTCGGATAAATCTGCCATTTCAAAGTGGCAAATTAGCTCATGCCAAACTTGAATACTGATCATTTTCTCCATATATTTCATTGACATAAAACCCATGTACACCAAATGTTAGGTAGACCATCACTGGCAGATCAAAACTACATGTACCTTTGTTACAGGCAAATCTCACCTGTCAAGTGGGATAATTACTTTATAAAAAAAATCACTGGGAAAAAAGTTCCTGTAGAAAAATTCGAAATCCTGAGGAAATTATCAAAATCCTGCAGGATTTCACCACTTCCTGCAGTATATTTTACAATTTCTGCAGGGATTTTCTTTACTCATGCAGAATTAATTTTCTAGAGGAATTTATTAACCTAAAAGAAAAAAACAAATCCTAAAGGAGAAAAAATATCCTAAAGGAGAGTAAAATTCCACCAAGAGGATTTTTTCCCTCTTTTGGGGTCGCCTGCGTGGTGCAGTTATTAGAGCGTTTGCTCTACAGTCGCAAAGTAGAGAGTTGATCCTTACGTCGCGGGTTCGAATCCCACTGTGGGACGTGGAGACCGGTCCTTCGGATGAGAACAGATAATGTAACTTGAATCCATTGCTTTAAAGTTTAAACCCTCAAAACGAATATACAGTAAGATGCACTTGACAAAAACAGCAAAGGTCGGAAAAAAGCAAAGAATTGCAAGAGGACAAGAACAGTTTTATTTGCCATTTTCTTAAATATTCGTGGTCTTGTTGTTCAAATTCTTATAAGGGGAGATAGTTCAGTTTCTGGGGAGTCAAGAAGGCAACGTGTTTGCAAAAAAATCGAAAGGTTTATGAGAGGAAGGAACCAGAATTAGGAATCCACAACATTGAATTTTCTTCATGACAGCGTCCAAACCCACACTCCCTGAAAAGTAAAGGTGTTTTGGGTATAAAAAGCAAGTTAATGTTTTGTCATACCAACAATATTCGTCAGATCTGTCACCTTTTGACTAGGTTCATTTTCCAAACTTGAAAAAAAACACCTGTCAGAAAGAAGAAACAAGTCCAGGAAATCATAGGATCTGCCATATTCCGGTATAAGAAGGGCCATACTCAAAAATAAGTTCTAAAAACAATCAGAAATTGGATAAAATGTTACCTACATGGTTTTTAATTAAAAGAGAATATTTAAGTCAAATCATTAAGACTTAATCATTGAAAAGCGTCTTTTGCCTCTTTCCGAGCACCGAGGGCATTATTTCTTGAACAACCCTCATATCTGAAATAGTTTTCTATTTCTTTTTTTTTGGGGGGGGGGGGGAGGGGGGTTAAGGTTCTTCCCCTTTAAAAATGTTACCATATGTCTGTTCTATTAAGTTTAAGAAAAGATACTTCTTTTGTCTTCAAAATTAAAATTAATTGACAATAATTTTATCAGTAAAATAACTATGCATTAAAGTGTTCGCTACAATTCAGTCTCCAGCTGTGTCCCAGTTGGTATCATTAGTAGCGATCATCTTCAGCTTCTGATCTCCTTTGCATTTCAAATTCAGTTATGTATCCTTTACACAACCACAGCTTCCTAGCAAAAATCAATCACATTGATATAATTTCCTTTATCTCTTCATTTTAATTTAAAACATTTGAGGAATCTTCGATATCATTTAATATTAACTTTGTTATCTACTTGCATGTACATTCCCCTTATTTTCATATTTTTTCAGTCCCAATGAATATCTTTACCTATAAATATTCACTTTTCAATAAGTTTCCATTCTTTTTCTATGTCGAAAAGAAATCAAATGAAAAAAAGTATATGATGTTTTGCATTAAGGCTTTAAAATGTAAGAGAGTTAAATATTATATGTATGACAATACAATCCCCAATCCACCCCTCACCCCACTTAAAATAAAATGGGCGGAAAAATGTATATCATGCTTTTAAGCTCTATAGATATTGATTGCTCAGTCAGGCAATCTTTTTGAAAGGCTTTTACTTGTGATTGGTAACAGAAGCTTAATACGTACAACAAACATTTTAATGTTTTGGTTTCCAACTTTTTTTATTTCATTTTGTTTAATTCAGTTTTCTTTCATCAGTCGTGAAAAGGGTAGTTTCTCAAAATCTGCTGCTTGTTACCTGTGACTCGTACAACTTATGAAAATACACATCCATAATAATGTGAATTGTAATGCAATCATTTTTTTTAAAATGGACGATTGATGAGAAGTTGTTAGACAAGGTTCAGTTCCGTATGAAATAGCACAATAACTTCATCATGTGTGATCCAAACTGTTGCAGATGCACTGTCTCTTGTTTCTTCTTTTACTCTTGTTTAGTGATGATAACTAAAAAAGGACATTTTGTTAATTTATTTCAATATGTTACTTCTTTTTTGCTGTTTTTGAACTGATCTGACTAAAACCAAAAGAAAAAATTAATATTTAATGGTTTTGAAGAGATATTGTACGGATTGTAATTTTGCAAGCGCAGACGTGTTCTTTTTTTCTAGTGAAATTGTATTTTTATAACAAATTTTCTTTCGAAAAAAGCAATTGAAACTGCTTAATGATCAGATCATTGTAGATGCCTATTTATTTGTTTCTTTTTAAAATACTGTAGACGTACATGTACTTTTTTCCAGGGGGTCATAATTCCGCGGAATCTCAATTTCTGTTTAATCCGCGGGTAGAAAATTACGCGGATTTTTTATATTAAGTACGCTTGGACAAATTCCCGCGGAAAATTTGTGATCGCGTACATAGCGTTAATTAATACCACGCGGAAAAAATACTTCTACAGTATCATATATATGCTAAGGTTATAAAACGTCGTAATACAAACAGATCTAAGGACGTTGTATATGGATGCCTCTCAGTGAAGACACAAGTTTATGTAAAAAAAAGTCTTAGGATCAATTATAAGGACAGATGATACAAACAAACTTTTGTCAAAAAATATGAAAATAACAACTTGAGTTGTGTTTTTATGAGTAAAATAAATAACTTTCACCGCGTAGTTTTTCATTTTTACTTACTTTCCAAACTTAATAAAACTTTTTTAAACATCTCGCTCCGGGGCCTTAAAACTAAAATGAGATGAGTTCACTTTTCATTTCAGTCTCATTTTCCAGTATAAAATACTTTTGTTAAAGCGAGATAGAAATCAAAAGTGAACTCATCTGAGTTTTATGGGCCTGGAGTTAGGTCAAATTTTAATATACATTATTAAATATATACCAGTATATTATAAATAACAAACATCCTTTACTGAGAAGATGGCATAATTATTTATAAAACTAGTTTTATTGTGTTACCTTTCTATTTTATACCTGTCTCGAGTGCGTTGTTTTACTGTATAGGATCATCTAAGGCTTTCGTCCCTGACGTCCCTTTACGGACATTGACTGTGTCTTATATTTCAAATTTTCTGTTTCGAGCTTTACAATCTTTTCTTTCTGCTCATTGAGGAGGATAAATGTTAAGGAAGTTTAAGATTTTGGAAAAGTATTACGTTAATTTTGGGTTGTGAAATATATTTTTCTTTGACTATTCTGAATAGTCTCTTATTTTATAATTAAAATTGTTTATCAGACTACTAGGAATAATTACACAATAGTTATGGTTCACATGGATTAGATTAAGTAAATATTAAACACCCATTCTCAATATAAGGGCGCAAATAATGTCGCCTCGTTTTCATTTAGAAGAAATACCACTGATGTAATTTT